TTTCCTGCCTAAGCAGGGGGTTGGACTAGAAGACCTCCAAGGTCCCTTCCAACTCTGCTATTGTATTGTATGGTATATTCCTTGCAAACAGCTGGTTATCTTCATCCTTTTAGAAGGTCATTGAGGCCACTTGGAGGTTTGTCCGTGTCCTCAGGGTCACCTGAGGGGTGCAAATGGTTCCTGTAGTCTGCAGTTTTTCCCCCTCTGGAAATCCATTCCTACTCCCACACCATCCCAAGGGTCTTCATCCCAAATTGTGTAGCTCAAAGTTTGTAGAGATTCTCAGTCATCCAGCTCACGGTTGTCCCAAAGGTGCTTTTTTTTCCCCCAAGAGGCAACTGGACTTTCTTGTTTAACGATGGAAATTCTGGTCCCAACTTTGGTCGTAAGCTGAGGACTGTTTCTGCAGAAGCTTTTTGGAAAAAGCAGTGATCATCAGGAACCCTTGTGCGAGCTCTTGCTAAAATATTCAGCAAGCTGTTTTTTTTTATGGCTTATGTTTTAATATTTTCTGTAATTAAAGTGCTGAGCTGCCGCTCCCAAGGCACGTGGGAAAGAAGAGAAATTAATTGCTTCTCTCTCGGTGGGTGGTGGGACTTTCCCCCCTCCCCGAATATTCCATAAGGAAATTGACGAAAGTTTGTGACTTTTACGGATCGATCCCCTTGGGTTCTACTCTGCCTTCTTCCCTGCCTGCCCTAATGAGATAACTTTAGGTGAAGAGAGGCTTCAATTGCTTCATCTATTTTAAATTTTATTAATGAAGTGCGGCAAATAAACAAGGGAAGAGCGATACAGTCTGCTTAAATTTTATTAATGAAGTGTAGCAAATAAAAGAATAATGCGTTAAGGATAATACGATAAGGAGCTACATACATTAAAGCTACTGGGTTTTTTTTTCTCTCCACCACCACCACCACCCCCAAAAAAATCTGGGCAACTTTTAAGAGTTCTGAAAGTGGAAGCTCCTGCAACTTAAAAGTTGCCAAGGCTGAGAAACACTGCATTAAAATGAAAATTAAGAGGGGTGGGGGATGAGAAGTTGGAAAGGAAAAAACATCCTACATGCTGCTAATATAATAATGACTGGTTCAGTCCTTAATCCTATTGTATGGAATGGAATGGAATGGAATGGAATGGAATAGAATAGACATCTAGAAAAACAGTTCGAAGGGACCTTGGAGGTCTTCTAGTCCAACCCCCTGCCTAGGCAGGAAACCTTACAATACTTCAGACAAATGGTGACCCCACATCTTAAAAACATCCACTGCTGGAGCATTCACAACTTCTGGAGGCAACTTCTGTTCCACTGATTAATTNGGCTGTTTTTTGCTCGTTTTCCCCACCCCCAGGAACACTCTACAAGCCTCCTAAAGGCTATTCATCCCTTTTCTTTAAAAAATGGGCCCTTTTAGAGAAAAACGGGCCATTTTTCAGAGGTCTGCAGAGTGCAATAACTTTTTTTTTTTAATTCTTCAAAATCTTGGTGCGTCTTATACTCTGAAAAATACGGTAGTTTCGGGACAGAAGGAGAGAAACCTTAGAGACTCCTTTCTGTCAAAATCACGGATATGTCTTTCAATCATAAGGAGAGGATTTGCTCTCAACACTGAGTCCCCTTAGGGAAAAGGGCGGCATACAAATGAAATAAATAAATAATAAAATAAATAAACTATTATCCACAATCCAGACTCACGATACCCTCCCAGGCTGTGCCCCTGAAAACGAAGACCCCCCAAATGAATTAATTTTCTTTTTCCACTTGGCTTCTAGAACCTGAACATGACGGTGGCCCAAGACTGGTGTTTAGCTCTGCAGAGGATGATGAGGGTGAAGGAAGAGGAGATCCACTCGGCCAACAAGTGCCGCCTCCGTCTCTTACTTCCTGGGAAGCCCGACAAGTATGTGGGGGGGTTTATTTCCTAAGGCTGACTCAGGAGAACCCATAACGACGTCCGGAGTCTGTCCACCCGCCACCACTCTGGCTTCAGCCCAACCCTCCATGGCTGCTTCCTTTCCACCAAAGCCAGGAGTGGGTGACCCACCTGTTATCAAGCGGTGTCAATCAATTAATCAGAATAGATGTGGAAGGGACCTTGGAGGTCTTCTAGTGCAACCCTCTGCTCAAGAAGGAGACTCTATACCGTTTCAGACAGGTGGCTCTTCACACAACGTCTAGTTTTTAAGAAAAGAACTCTCAACATCTTCCGTTCCACCGATTAATTGTCCTCACTGTTAGGAAGTTTCTCCTTAATTCCAGGTTGCTTCTCTCCTTGATTAGTTTCCATCCATTGCCTCTTGTCCTGCCCTCAAAATGCTTTGGAAAATAAGTTGATTCCCCTCCTCTTTGTGGCAGCCCCTCAAATACTGCAATACCGCTATCATATCACCACCGGCATACACCATACTGCAACCCACCACCGGCGCGCGCGCACATCCACGTGCATGCGTGCATGACCAGTGCTCCCCCCTGTTTTTCCCCACACTTTTTTTGCCCTCCTCAGGCTCCTGAGGCTTTCTAGGAGCCTAAGTAGGGCAAAAACAGCCTCCCCACCCCACCCCCGGAGACTTCAGGAGCTTCTCTGAAGGCTCCGGAGGGCGAAAAACAGCCCTACAGCCAAACAGGAAGTTATCTCCTGGGATTTATGTTTTTGTATTGATATTTTTTTCAATATATTACATTTTTAAAGTGTTTCTTTATATTGACAGGTCCGGTCGCCCCGTCAGCGTCATGGTGGTGTTCATCACACCCAACCCACTCAGCAAAATTTCCTGGGTGAATCATTTGCACTTGGCCAAAATTGCCCTCCGTGAGTAAATCCCTTTGGCTTCGCTATGCCTTGGTTCGATGCTTCTTCGTAACGCAGCAGTTAGTCCTCGACTTACAACCGTTCGTTTAGTGACAGTTCAAAGTTACAGTGGCCTTGGGGGGGAAAAAGTAGGAAGGATTTATATTGCCTTGGTAAGGCCGCACTTGGAATCCTGCATTCAGTTTTGGTTGCCACGATGTAAGGAAGATGTGGAGACTCTAGAAAGAGTGAAGAGAAGAGCAATAAAGAGGATTAGGGGACAAGAGGCTAAAACATACGATGAACGTTTGCAGGAACTGGGTATGTCTAGTTTGATGAAGAGAAGGACTAGGGGAGACATGATAGCAGTCTTCCAATATCTTCCTT